CGGGCCCGGAGCTCCACCCGCCGCAGCCGCGGCCATCTCCGACTGCGCCCGCCGCCCGCGAGCGCGCCAGCCCCGGCCGCGCGCCCGCCGCCCATTGGTCGTCGCCTGCCCGCCCCGGTCCGCACGCCCTCCGCCCATTGGTCGCCGCGCCCCACATGCAAATATATCGCTATCGCGCGCGCCCATTGGCCAGAGCGGCTCTGTGCTCGGCCGCTCCCCTGGGTCCTAGAGGCCTCGCGGGCTCGCCCCTAGGGATCCGCGAGCCGTGCGTCGCCCCACGGGTTCGAGTCCCCGCGGCCGGGTTCGAGCTGGCGCCCTGTTCCCCCTGCTCGGCGGCGGCGTTTGCGGCAGCCTCCATCGAGCGCGTATTTACGGCTCCGGCCCCGGGCGGCGTGGGCGAGGCCCCAGCGCGCTTCCCGGTCCGGGGTGTCTGGGCGGTGGGCCCGGAGGAGCCGCCGGCGGAGCCACGTGGCCGCCCCTGACGGAGGGACCGAGGGTCTGCGGCGGAAGGCGCCGGCCTGGGATCGCGGCCCGGGCGGTCCTGCGCCTCCTTCGGCTGCAAAGTGACCTTGAGCCCGCGCGTGCCCAGGCCTCGGTTTGCGCCCTGCCCGGCGCCCTCCGCAGGGGCTGCCCCGACGCCCCCGCCCCGGAACCTGTCTGCGCCTTGAGGGGCCCAGCTGTGCCTGGGGGCGCAGGGCCCCGGGTTTACTTGTTAAAGCGGCGGCAGTGACTGCGGCCCCAGGGTGCCGTCAGGGTGGAACTGGCTCCGCCATCAGGACGCAGCCACTGCCGTCCGCCTGTCCCCGTCCGCCTGTCCCCGTCCGCCTGTCCCCGTCCGCCTGTCCCCGCCCGCCTGTCCCCGCCAGGGCCCGCTGGGGTGGGGTGGACCGGCAGGCGCTGGCCCTGGGGAGCGCCTGGTGGGGGGGGGCGGCATCACCAGCAGCAAGGAAGTGGGTGAGCTGGCTGGTGGCAGGAGACAGGTCGTCACTGTCATCCCCCCTCCACCGCACTGGGGCCCCTGACCTCCGGGCCCCTTCCCCGCCTCTCGCCTGGGCTCACCCAATGCCCAGTCCCGCCGTCTCTCTGTCCTTCCAAACTGGCCTTTGCGGCCTCTGCCAGGCCCGGGAGAGGTGGGCAGTCAGGTAGAACTCGGGCGGGCCCAAGTGCCAGGTGGGGATTGCCTGTGTCCTGCCAGCGGCTCCCAGGAGCGGGCTCCCGAGAGACTGAAGGAGAGCTGCACATCGGGGCCCCTTCCCTGGGCGTCACCGTGTCTGCTGACACAGGGCGGGTAGTGCTGGGGGCCGCAGATCCCTCTGCAAGATGGGGGTGTGACTGCACGCTGGGGGCTCCTTGAGGGAGGTGTGAGGACAGCATTGTCAAGCGCTGAGTCCAGGGTGTGCACACGGCAGGGCCCGGACCCTTGCTGGCTGTGACCGGAAGGGGTTGGCCACAGACGTGGCTAGCAGGGACGCTGGTGTCAGGTGGACGCAGAGCTGGGGAGCGAGTCAGCCGTCAGTGCGCTGCCTGCGCGGCATCCGTACTCGCCTGCAGTGCAGGAGTGGGGCTGGGCCCGGAGCTGGTTCCCTCTTGCCAGTGGGCAAGATGCTGAGCTTTGAGGGTGCTCCAGGGGCGTGGGGGGGGAGTGTGGGCTGCTCCCTCCGTCTGGCGGGCTCCTTGCTAGGCTCCTGCAGCGAGAGGCTTCTCTAGCTAGGGTGTCGGTGGATGGCCACCAGCCAGCCTGGCCACACACGGCCAATGTGTGGGAGGCACATGGCTTTGTTTCATTTGATTTTGGAAATATCAGAGCAACCTTTAACAACTGGGAGATTTCACACACACACACACGCACGCACACACACACGCACACACACACGCACACGCGCACACACACACACACACACACACACACGCACCCCCGGACTTCCCTCTCTGGCCAGCAGGCGGACGGGCTGCAGGCAGCAGGTGGGAAGCAGTGCCATTGGTCAGGCCTGTACCCCCGCTCTGGCCCAGGCCTCACCCAGTCTGGTCATCGGCCCACGTCCTGCCTTCCCTGCAGGCAACGGGGTTTTAAACTGCCGCCACCTCGGTGCTGTGGTCATCCTGCCTCAGCTTGGCAGGGAGGGCCCGCGTCGCTCACAGTGTGCTCCTGAGTTTTCTTTGGCTCCTACCTGACCTCTTGCCAGGTGTCGAGTGCAGGGCTCTGTCCGCGTGCCCCTGGGGGCGTGGTAAGGAATGACCCTGCACTGCAAGCCTGGCCCTCAGGTTTGACGTCCCAGTTGTTTCCTCGGCCTGGCACCCCGAGCGTCCCTTTTGGACATCCCTCTATAGCCCCTACTTCTCTTTTCTGCCTAATCTTTTAGCTACTTTCCTAGAGTTCTGATTTTAGCAAACTTCCCAGAACAGCTTTGCCCCTTGCTTACTCAGTAGGTACACTCCTATTCATCCCTCAAAACCCAAATTTCTCTTTCCCGTCTCTGCCCCCCTCCCCCAGGCCGTGACCCAGAGCTGCTGCTACTTTGCCCGGGGGGCAGAGCTGAGGTGACACCCAGCTGAGGCCCCGCTGTCTCTGCCCTGGAAGGGGCAGTTCTCAGACTTCATGTGTCCGGGAATTACTCCTGGGAGCTCCTCACAACACAGGGCCTTGTAAGTTCCTGGCTGCGAGGGTGGGGTTGGGCCCAGGAATCTGCTTCTTATACTCCCCGCCAGAGCTCGGAGGCTTGGGGACACGTCCTCGCCAGGCAGCAGTGGCCCAGGGAGCAGACGTCCTGAGTGCTGCTGGGGGGTCCTGGGCAAGCTGCCCTGTGGCTGTGCCCAGGGTGGAGGGGTCGGTGGCACACTCAGGGCCAGGCACACAGGAGTGTGTCAGTGGTGAGCCAGCAGGTGCACACGCCCTGTCGCTGTTCCCAGGCCCTTTCCAGAGGGTGCCCCGGCCCCTTTAACACACTGCAGTGGGCAGAGGAGCTGGTTTTGTTCTGCCCTCCTGCAAGGTAGTAACGCCTGGGTCCCTGGCACCATCAAGCAAGTCTTGGGACCTCTGACCCCAGCCCTACCAGATGCACACGTCCTTCTTCACGTGTTTATTTTCCGGGTCTCTCTCTGCAAGGGCGCCACCACCCACCCTCTCCTTCCTTCCTCTTTGCCGGACGCTTGTTTGCCGGAGTCCACGCGGGGGCGCCCGAGACTGTGGCTCGGCACCCGGCAGGCAGGGTGCAGGCCGCTGTGGTCCGCTGCCTTTTGGAGGGGGCTGCTGCCGTGCGCGGCAGGGCGGGGCTGGACTGGAGCCTGAGTGATCCCTACCTCCCGTCCTCGCTGTCCCGAGGGAGCAGGTGCTGAGCCGAGGGTGCGGCAGGGCCGGCAGGGCATTTCTGAGATGGGTGGAGACGGAGTGGATGCAACGCCAGCCCTCCCAGCCTCCCTGGATGGGGCTGGGACGCAGCCCCCACGGTGTGTGGCCTGTCCAGGCCGCGGTCAGTCAGGCGGAGAGCCACCTCTGGGCAAGCCCGGTGACCTGGTGGCTAGGTCTCCTCCCAGCTGCTGCTGTGGGGGGAGGAGCTGCAGCCCTGGGCGTCCCTCGGGCTCCCGGGCCCCACAGATGCGGTCAGGGGCTCCCTCGGTTTCCTTCTCCCTCGGGATGGCTTCTTGGAGGCTGTGGGATGTGGATTGCGGTCAGGCGGGAGGCATGGCAGTGGCCCCGGTGACCCTGCCTGTCCTCTGAGCGACTCGGCTCTCACCCAGGGCCTCTCAGGCAGCGTCTGGGCACTCCAGAGCCTGCATTGGTGACGTTGTTCCTAACAGAAACAAACGCCCAGGAGTGGCCCCATTTGAGGGTGAGGATTTGGTGGCAGGGAGGACCCTCTCCCCAGGTGTGTAACCTGAAGACAGGCCCTGGCTGGCGCCTCCCTGGCTGCTGTGTGGAGCGCCTGGGACCTCCTGGATAACTGAGCTTGTGGGACGTGTGCACAGTGCCTCAGTGGGCCACTCCCAGGCGCTGGGGCTAGGGTGGGGGCCGCCGGGGAGGGGCGCCTGGTCCCTGAGATGGTCCTGGGTGGGACCTGCCACCACACTGGGCCCAGGCCCATCTCTGGCGCAGAATGAGCTCAGGTTCCCGGTTGAACAGGTCAGGTCCGAATCCTGACTCCGGGTACCAGGCCTGTGACCTTGTGCAAGCTTCCTCACCTCTCTGGACCCCAATTTCCCCTGCAGTGAAACAGTGACAGTCCTACCGCTGGGCAGGGCTGTGAGGCCCAAAGGCATGCCGCTTCCCACTGTCCCTGGACCCGAGACGCGGGGGCTGGCTCTGGCGCTGAGCTGCGTGGTGCCCTGCCCGGCAGGGTAGGGCCAGCACACGCAGGGCACAGGCCCTGTCCTCACCGACTGCCAGAGTGTAGTCTTGGGAGCGGGAGCCCCTGCCAGCTGCCCCCTTCCCTGGCCCAGGTGGGAGGATGGGGGCTGGGGGCTGGCTTGGCTCAGTTGGAGGGTAGGGGTGACAGCTCGAACGGTGGCAGGCTGCGCCCCACCCAGGACCATGTCCACATGGCCACGGCAGGAAGTGCCTCAAAATGGGACCGGTATGCTGGCCTCTCTGCCGCTGCTTGGGGCAGACATAGGCCATGGTCACCTTCCCGGCAACAACAGTGCATTGTGGTGGCACAGCCCAGCCTGCGCATTGCGGGCCCTACTTAGGTAAACACAGGGCCGCACGATTGTTAGCGTAGCGTTCAAAAGCTCGCGAGGGCTCCTGGAGACCCGGCCAGAGCTGCCGTTGTGCCCAGAGCAGGAAGTGGGAGGCTGTCCGGACACCATCGGACCGGGGCTGAGGCTCCTGCCGCCTTATTGGAGGGCGCTGAGCCCAGGGGCACTGCCCTTGGCAGACGTTTGAGCAGCCCCCAGATCCCCCAGTGGGAACAAACACACCCTACGCCTCTGCCGCCGCTCCCATCTGAAGGTGGACTGGAGGGTCCCGGGGACCCCATCCCCTCTCGGTGGGGGTGGCTTGTGGACCAGGACCCCCCTCCCTCCCCGGACGGTGATGGTGACTGTCCTCAGCTCTCTGCTTGGGACCTCCCATCCCTTACCCCACTGGCATCTCATGTGCACCCTGGTACCAGCCCGCCCTGCAGGTGAGGACCTGGCCCCAGGCTGCCCTGGGAGGAGCTGCGCGGTCAGGACCCCCAGGCCCGCCCCTCTCCGGTCTGTTCCGAAGCCGAGCGAGGGCTCTGTGTCTTGCTTCCACTGTCCGAGGATCCTTCCCTGGGCAGCCAGGAGGGGAGGTGGTGTGGGGAAGGCTGGTGCTGCGGTGCCCACTCCGGCCCCTTTGGCGTACCTTGGCCCCCCAGGTCTGAGTCCTGCTTCCTCTTCTGCGGCAGACCCTGCCCATGCTCCTGGGCGCAGACGCATCTGGGCCCCTCCCCTGGCACGCTTGGATTGGCACCGGCCTCGGAGCTCGGGTCCCCCTGGGTGGAAAGGGATGCGGTCAGGGCAAGGAGCGTGCCCATCCCCTGCCCGGCAGCGCCACCCAGGACCCCCACCCCCAGTGTGTGGCCAGGGACCTACCTCGCTGTCTGAGGAGTCTGACTCGTCCAGTGCGTCTGGCTCCGGCCTCTGTGCTCTGGCCTGGCTGGGCTCTGAAGGGCGCAGGGTGTAGGGTCAGGCCAGGCGGGTAGCCCCAGAGGCTCCCGAGCCTGCCAGACCGGGACGGGTGGAGACAACTCTGCAGATGAGGAAACTGAGGCACGAGGGGCCAAGCAACCTGCCCTGGGCACTTGCTGGTGAGGGGCAGGCTGGGGTTTGAGCCAAGGCCTGGCATCTCCACATCCCCGTGTGTGGACCCCACCAGCTGGGGTGCCCTTCCCTTGCTTGGTCACTGGCGACGGGGAGCTCACCACCTGTCTGCCAGCTCCCACTGCTCAGCTGCTCTGCTGGTCACTGAGTGTGGCGAGAGGCACCTGCCTGGGGCCCCCATGTCCTTGGTGTCCACAGGTGGGAGGACCCTGGCCCGAGACCGGGGTCTGGCCAATGAGGCCGAAGGGCAGAGTGGAGCCTTGAGACCCCCTCCCTGTGCACACTGACCCCGCACCCCTCCCTGCCACGGCGCCACCTCCCGGCTGCTCACTTTACCTGGGCGGCTCTCGGGGTCAGGCCATCCTCTGGCCTCATCCTCTGTCCCGCTTGGAGAGGGCAGGCTGGGCTGGGACCCTGCGGGTGGGTGTGAGGGGTCCTGGGGGAGGCGAGTAAGTGGCTCGAGTTTATTCGGGGGGACTTCCCATCCCCCAGCTCAGCCCTGGACACTGCCTGTGGGGCCCCCTGTGGGCTGCAGCCGGGGCAGCCTTTCCCTGTCTAGCGTGAACTAGGCAGTGCGCTTTCTCCCTGGGGGCTGACTTGGTGGGGTGGAGGGGAGAGAGCAGCCCAAGGTGGGGTGGGGACGCAGAGGGGACGCGAGGACAGGACTGGGCTCCTTACTGTGAGAGCCGGGGGCTCTTCCAGCTCTGGTGCTCGGGTCCCCTCGGTGCCATTGCTGAGTGCCTGGGGGCTGTGAGTCAGTGCTTCGGACGGGGTGGGCGGCTCGGGGCTCGGGGTGTGGGCAGTCATGGGGCTGAGGGACCTGGGCTGGCCAGCTGGCTTGAGGGCGTCCCGGCCGCGGCCCCGGTCTGAGAGGTCCAGGGGCTTGTCTGGGGCGTAGTCCTGTGTGGCCGTGGCCTCCTTCCTGCTGGGGCAGCCTGGGCCTGGGGGCTGTGGGTGCCGCCCTCCAGGCAGGGTGGCTGTGGCTGGAGCTGCCCCAGCCACCTCGCTCTCGGGGCCTTCGGAGTCTGAGCCGACGGATGGGGAGGGCTGCGTGTCCCCAGGCGCGTGTGGGCCGCCCGGCCTGGCACTGCCCGCCCTCGTCCTCGCCCGCAGCTGCTGCTGGGCCAGGAGCAGGTGCAGCGCCCCTTCCAGCCGCTGGTCCTGCGTGCCCACCAGGGCGCTGGGCAGACCCAGCAGGCCTGTGGGCTCCTCCCAGGCCTCTGCCTCTCTGGCCTTCAGGCCCTGGATCAGGGGGCCGCCAGGGGCTGCAGCAGGGGCCACGGGGCGGCTGTGGGGGCTCCGAAGGTGCAGGGACAGGTGGTGGTTCAGGAGGCAGCGGCGCTCGGCCCGAGGGGACTCAGGGGTCACGGCGGACGGCCGGGAGGCCCGCAGGAAGCTGCGAGGAGGAGAAGCCCAGTGATCGCGGCCCACGGTTAGCGGTGACTGGCCGAGGGAAACTGGCAGGTGCCCCATGTCACAGGTGGGGACACTGCAGCCCAGAGAGGAAGCAAGCCGCCAAGGGCACATGCAGGCAGTGGAGGGGGGGTGGCACCTGGGCCCCAGCTCCAGAGGCCGTGCTGTGTGGGTGCCTGTCACCCTGGCCAGAGGTGGGCTGGGGTCTGGGCTCCGAGGGGGGCCTGGCCACAGAGGCCTCTGCCTCTTCCTGGCAGGATGTTCTGCATCCGACTCCCAGGAGCGTGGGTGGAATACCTGCTCCTCCCCTGGGGTGCCCAGTCCGCCTCCGCCCACCACGACGGCCCATGTTCCCAGACGGGAGACGGAGGCCCTGCAGGGCCCCTCTGACGGCGCTTCCAAAGCCTCGAGCCTGTCTCCTGCCCCGCGCCCGGCCTGGCCACTCAGGAAGCCTGTCCGTGGGAATGCCACTACAGGCAGGGCGCCCAGAAAGAGCCACGCCAGGGCGAGCAGGGCTCCTAGAGGGGTGAGCAGAGGGATTTCGTGGGCCGCTGGCCCCGCCCGGGACCGGAGTCTGGGATGGGAGCTCAGCTGAGGGTGCTCCTGGTGGCCGTTACCCAGCTGGCGGGGCCCTTACCTGTCCAGGGGGAGGCTGTGCTCATACATCGGGCTGGGGGGGCTGCTTCTGGGGGGCGGTGGCGGGGGCGTCCCATTGATGGAGCCACGCTCGGCCGGGCAGGCCCGGGACCCAGGCCGCAGCACGGCAATGGTCCCGTGCAGCTGGTTGGAGATGCGCTGGGGGCTCTGAACAGGGATGGGGGTCAGCCTGGGGGGGCAGCAGGTGCCGTCTGCCCCCGGCCCAGGGCTGCTCCCCCTCGGCCCCTGCTCTCTGCATGAGCCTGGGCCGGTCTCCCTCCCCCGGGCGTCATCTCCACCCACGTCAAAGGGAGAGCAGTGGTCCCCGCCCCCGCACGAAGGACAGGGACGCAGCTGCCAGCCTCCTGCGAGGGGCTGGCCTGGCTGATGTGGTGGGCCCTGGCTCCCTCGCCCTTACCAGGTCTGGGGCCCGCGGCTCAGGCAGGTTGGCGCCCGGGGAGATTTTGGCCACTGGAGATGTCCTGGGTCCTGCCGGCCGCTCTGTGGAAGGAGAAGCGGTGGTGAGAGCTCGGGAGGCTCTCAGGGGGGTGCTCAGCCCCTGGCCAGGGGGCTCCACGCTCCTCGGGGCCCAGCCTCCCGGCCTCTCCGGGTCCCCGCAGCACCTTCGCCCCATGGACCTGCGCCCGGGTGGTCTTCCTCAGCCTCCTTGGGGCCTCCTGGTGGCTTCTCGCCGATGACCTTCCAGGCGCCGGGGGAGGGGAGGCGCAGGGGTGAGGGGGGGTCCGAGGTGTGCTCCCTGGCCAAGGGCTTGGGCCTGTCTCTGGGGGAGGCAGAGGCAGGGGGTGAGGGGAGAGGGCACCCGCCTGGGGCCAAGCTGCCTCTGCGGGGAGACCCAGCTACCCCGGGAAGGCGCTGCTCTCCGACGCTGCCTGCGGCGCCACCGTTACCGGCTCTGGTGGACGTGTGCCAAGCGCCTGGGTGGGTGGGCACTGGAAAATCGGGGTGTCGGGCCTGGCCCCCTTCCCACTTACTCCAGGCCCCGAAGCCGCTTGACCTCCTCCTTCAAGGCCTCGTTCTCCTCCTTCAGCCCGTTCATCTCGCCGGCTGCAAGAGGCACAGGTCGTGGCTGCAGCCGGGGAGGGCAGCAGGGGCGGGCGAGGGGTCCTCGCAGCACCAGGGGGCCCTTCCTACTCTTGTCCCCAGCAGTGTCGCCAGCACTCAGCCTGGGGCCTGGCATACAGCAGGTGCCCCAGAAATGCTTGCCACGTGAGTGGAGGGCTGGATGTTACTGAGTAAGCAGCGCCAGCCTCGAGGTTGTGGAAAGTGCGGGGAGCCCCCACGCCTGTCCCTGGGGCTTCCCCCAAGGGACAGGGAGCTGGTCCTCCATCACCGGTAGGACCAGTTGGACCCCGGCCTCTGTGGGACCCTTCCTCATCACGGCGGGGACACCAGCCAGATGACTGACCGTGGAGACACGCGGGGCTGGCAGTGGCTTTGTTCCATTTGTCTGCAAATTGGGGTCTGGGTGTCCCCCAGTGGCACGGGGCTGGGCTGCCTGCCCTCCGTCCCCGTGACCCCGCGTGGGGCTGAACCCGGCCCCCCGGAGGGCCCCCGAGGGCCTGCAGCCGCTCACTGAGGATGAAGATGTGCTGTAGGCTCTGCAGGTGGGAGCTTTCGAACTCGTGCTGCTTCCTCCTGGCCAGCTCCTGGGTGACCATGCACCGGTCGCACAGTCCAGCCCGCAGCCTGTGGGGATGGGGAGGCGAGAGATCGCTCTGAGGGGAAAACTGAGGCCAGTGCCAGGTGTGCCCCTGCCTTTCCCAGTGTTCTGTGGAACCCCAGGCCTGTTCCCCACCCTGTGGACTAAGTGTCCCATGTTCAGCTGAGTTTGGGAGAAATCTTGAAAATGTAATTTACTTAAGGCTCTGAGAAGTCCTGCAGTGGAGAAACCTGCTTGGTTTGGTTTACCTTGGAGTTTCCCAAACTCATTCCAAGAAACCCTGTCGTCTCCCCTCCGTGAGCCCGCCGGCCTGAGCAGGCTGCCAGGTGGCGCCGCCCACCTGTTCTCCAGCACCCGCAGGTTTTCCTTCAGCGCCTTCTGCTGCTCCCGGAGCTGGTGGTTCTTGGCGAAGAGCTCCTCCAGCCTCTGCGCGTCCCTGTGGCAGCACATGCCAAGGTGGGGGCCGCTCTGGCCTGGAAGCCACACGCTGTCCCCACTGTGCAGCCTGAGGCCCAGCTCTGTCCGGCGCCCCACAGACTTGGTCTGGGGCCGGGCCCTGCTCTGTGCGCCTCGCTGTGGGGCCTCACCCTGGAAGCAGGTGCCCCCTAACTTGAGTCATTTGTGTGTCACTTTGTGACTTCTGTCTTGTCCCTGCACCAATTTAGCACAGCCTGGTCTGTGACACAGGGACACGGGAGCCGCCCACAGGCCGCTGTGTGATCAGGTGTGACCACGTCTGAAGGCCTCACGGCGAGTGCTGTTGCTGATACACTGACGGTGGCCCTGGGGCAGAGATGGCCCAAGTGCAGGGCTGGACACCCCCTGGAGGCCAGAGCACCCGGGTCCCAGTCCCGGCTCCACACCTGCTCGCTGTGGCCTCGCACAAGCGACTCGCCCCCAGGCCTGTGCCCAGGCCCAATTTCCCCTCCTGCGTCAGAGGATGGTGGCAGTGCTGGCGCCCGGGCCTGGGGGGATGACCTGAGTCGTCATGGCCCCCTGGGGAGGGGCTCTCCTTGCCCCGGTTTCTCACTGGGCCCAGCCTGGCCCGACTCACCGGCACCTCTCTGAGTTCAGTTCCAGAAGCTTGTTCTGCAGGCCTGGCGGAGCGAGCAGAGGGGCGGGAGGTCAGGCCCCGAGGCCACCTCTGCCTGCACATCCCCTGCCCTGGCTGCCATGTGGGGCCCCGTCTGTGCCCCTTCTGCTGCGCGCTCCAGCCTCGGCTTCTGCCCAGTCTCTGGGGCTGCCTGAGACCCTGTGGCCTGTGCCCAGTGTCTCTCCCTCCCCTGGGGTCTCTGGCTCTGGCATCTGCTGGGAGGTTGGTGGGGACCCCGGCACTGGAAGTGACCAGCCACTGGGAAGGGCAGAGATGCTGAGAGGGGCCTTGGGGTGCAGCTGGTGTTGAAATGAAGGGCTGTGGGGCAGACCCCTCAGACCTCTCCTGGCTACATCTTGGGGGTCCGGCTCGGCTGGGCTAGCCTGGGGCTGGGGGAGACGTGGGGTCTCGCCCAAGCAGCCCCACCTCGCTCAGTTGCTCAGGAAGCAGCCACAGGATCTTTGGACCCTGGGTGGGCGTGGGTGCTCTGTGGAAAGGGACCAGGGAGGAGCTGGCCCTGGCCCTGCAGTGGCGGTTGGAGGGGGCCGCAGCCCTGTCCCTGTGGGGGAGTTAGACAGGAGTGTGAGGCCTGGGGCAGGTCCCGGGGGAAGAGAACTTCAGCTCTGTGCCTCGAAATGTTCTGGACGGGTCCCAGGAGCCACGGGCTCTTGTTCCTGGAAGTGGCAGCCTCTGCTAGGAGGTGCCGAGGCCCTGCCCTGGGTGAGGGGGTCCCCAGGCTGGGACTGTCAGCTCTCTTTTCTGCCTGGCTGCAGGCCAAGCCTCTGGGAGGACATGGCAGGGACTTGCTGGGTGTGGCAGGCGCCATGCGGTGTGGGTGGCAACCTTGCAGTGTGCCCCCTTGGGGCCACACCCTGGAGCTGTGGTCTGTGGACCCTCCAGCAGGAGGGCAGCGTGCGGCAGGGCCCACTGTGCAGCTCTGGGCCTCGGCTCAGGATGTCCCTTCCTGGGCCAGAAAGGGGGGTGCCCCAGACTTGTGGAAGTTGGACGTGACATTCGGGAGGGCCCTGGCCTGTCTGGGCCCTCGGGGCCACCTGTGGGGGTGAAGGCTGTGGACTCCCCCAGCCCAGCGCCTGGCCCTGGCCACTCACCCAGGACCTCCTTCTCGTGGGTCTCCTTCAGCCTGTTCAGCGACTCCGTGAAGCTCTCCATGGCCCCGGCCCCGCTTCTGGGGTGTGGGGACCCTTCCTGCCCTCCGTTTCCAGCCTGCAGGGGAGGACATGGGGAGAGGTTGGCTTAGGAAGGAACCGCGGGCTGCAGAGCCCAGCGCAGGAGGTGCGTGGCCTGTGTGGGCAGAACCCACACCGTGCTGGGGGGCTGCCCCGCCGAGGTTGGGCTGCAGGACCCGGAACCCACAGGCAGGTGCAGATAGTGTGGTGTGAGGGTTCAGGATCCCACTCACCAAGGGCGACACATACACACACACACAGACCGCAGGTACACACACACACACACACACACACACACGCGCGCGCGCGCACACATGCGCACCATCGCACATGCGCACACCACACATGGATATATAACACGCATGCACATGCACACATACAACACACGCACACAGACACACATAGACACACATGCAGATGTGCACACTCACAATGACACAGATACACAGACATGGACATGCAGACACGGATGCTCAGACACACGGACACACAAATGCACATGGACACGCACAGAGATGCGCACAGATACACGCAGGCATAGACACACGCAGACATATGGACACATAGACTGACACACACCGACACACGCACAAACGCACTGGCCCTTGTCTGCCCAAGGAAGTCGCTCCGTATTGAGAGGCTGAGGGTCCCAGGAAGGGCAGGACTCAGTCCACAGAGGGGCGGCTGGCCACGGCCCCCTGCCTGCCTGCCCTCCCTGTGCACAGGTCCCGGGAGGGGCTTGGTCGGCCGTGGACATCTGGACCCCACAGCCCGAGGCCAGAATTAAGGGGACACAGGGTCCTTGTAGGCTGGGCCTGGGGACCCTGGGGCCTGTCCCGGCTCCCCATGACGTGGGGAGAGTCCGGGCATGAGGCTGGGAGGACTGAGCCTGGGGGCCGTGGTGGCCCTCCCTTCGCCCTCCCGCTCAGACTGGCCCCCAGCTGGGCCACTGAGCAGGCGGCTGGGCCTCTGTGGGCCCGTTGGCCTCTGCAGCTGACCTCTGCACAGGAGCGGGTTCCCACGCGGTCAGGCTGCGTTCTCTCCTGCCCGGGGCAGTGTGCGCGTGCCCATGACCACTGCGCCCTGGTGCCACACGGACCACTGAGCCAGCCCCTCCCTGGCCTCCCGGCCCCCAGGGCGCACTCTCACAGCTGCGGCTCTGCCATCCCCCCATTCAGGTGCACACGTGTGCTCAAACCACGCCCAAGGCCTCACTGTGGCCAGGCCCCGGCAGGTCACACAGGGATGAGGACACAATCCATTTTGCATTTTCTCTTTCTTTTTTGAGACAAGTTCTCGCTCTGTCACCCAGGCTGGAGTGCGGTGGTGCGATCCCAGCTCACTGCGACCTTGAACTCCTGCGGTCAAGCCATCCTCCTGCCTCGGCCTCCTGAGTAGCTGGGACTGCAGGCGCCACACCACCATGCTCAGCTAATTTTTTAAAAATTTTTTTGTAGTGATAGAGTCCTTGTTATTTTGCCCAGGCTGGTCTCAAACTCCTGGCCCAGGGGAACGGGGCTCGAGCCGGGGCGCGGGTCACGCGGCCAGGATCAGTGATGATTCCGGCCCCACTTTCCGAGCTCTGCATATGCTGTCAGTTTCAGAATCGAGCATCTAATCTTGATGAAACCCTGAGGAGCCCACTCTCCAGATGGGGAAACTGAGGCTCAAAGAGATCACACCACCTGCCTGGGGAAGTGGGGGCTGGGGCGTGTTCCCCCAGTGGCCCTGGCGTGACCGGCTGCGCTGGCCTCACCCTGCTGAGGGGCCCTGGGAGGCGAGACTCTGAACTGGGTCCTCCGTGGGCCCAGGCTGTGGCAGGTCGGGCCAAGGAGGGCCAGGAAGGGGCTGAGCTGCAGCTCCTGAAATTCCACCCAGACCCGCCCGACAGGCAGCTCTTCCCGGCCTGGGTGCCCGCTGCGTGGGCTGGGCTGACGCCCGTAAAGAAGCCACCCAAGGGAGCCCGTGGTGCCCGTGGGCCCAGAGAGGCTGCGCAGGCTCCGGGTCTGCATGAGAGGGGGTCCTCGTGTCCAGTGAAGCCATCGTAGTGTGGAGGCCAGGGCGGCGGGTGCCGGGGCTCCCTCTGCCCCAGACCACCCTGCAGGCCCTGCCTGGCTGCTCCTCGACCTGCTCTCTGGGCAGGGGCAGCAGGCGCACGGCCCTGGGGCACGGCCTGTGAGTGTCTGGATCTGAGAGGGAAGGGCTGTATCCTGCTGGGAGCCCCTCCTTTCCTGGGGGGCCCAGGGCTGGGATGGGACTGGGCAAGGCCAATCGGCCCATGGGTGACAGTGCCGCGGGGATGGTGTGATGTCCCTGGGCAGGCAGGTGGCAGAAATGAATGTGGCCAAGGCAGTGGCCAGAACCAGTCTCCCTGGCTCCTGCAGCCTGGTCCCCAGGAGTGTCGCGGGGTCTGGGGAAGGGATGGGAGTTGGCGGGCGAGGTCTGCCCGTCCTGGTGCCTTTGGGAAGAACTGGGGCTTGGGCCAAATGAACCGGCCTGTGAAAAACACTCACAGCCTCGAGCAGGGGCTGGGCGGCCAGCTCTGCCCCCCTGGCCTGGTCTGGGTCTGTCGCACTTGCCGAGGGTGGCTGGGGGTGCTGCGGGTTCAGGGAACTCTGAAGGGGGGTCTCCCCCACCCCAGGGGGCTGCAGTGAGGCTGTGATGGGAGAGAAGTGGGGGAGCTGTGCACAGAAGAGGGTGGCCTGAGTCTCCCGGGAGCCTTGGGGGCTTCACAGGGCTGGGGCGCGTGGGTGGGCAGAGACCTGAGCTCCGTTCCTCTGGGCCCCAGACAGGGGCCCCGCTCCCCTGGGGTGCCCAGGCTGGAAGCCTCAGCTGGTGCCAGCCCCTGGGAGGAGCGGGAAGGGGCAGGGCCCGTCGGTCAGCCTGTGCCCCACCTGGCTGTGCCCCACCGGCATGTGCAGCTGGGCAGGGGGAGGGCAGGTGGAAGGGTCTCATGGCTGTCCCTTCTCAGACTTCTCAGCCTGCCAGGCCTCGATCTCTGCCTCGTTTTGCCATTGAGGACACAACCTGGAGGTGGGGGTCCTGCCCCCAAACCTAGTGAGAAGCAGCCAGGCTTTGGCTAACCTGGGGCTGCACCTGCCGCCTGGCGCCGCGAGGGTGTTACTGGTACCAGCACCTAGGCCCACCCACGCTGCTCCTGAAGACCACGGCAGTGTGCTGGCGTTACCAGGACTCAACAGAGCACATGCCGCACGTTGGCACCGCTCTGCCCCCTGGACGGGCGGGACCCAGGAGAGCCCTCTGCAGGGAGCCTGGAGGCTGGCGGAGCACCTTCCACCTGGCATCCTCGTTGGGGCAATGGGTACATGCTGTGGACCCCGCCTGCCCCTCAGGGCCCCCACCTGTTCCCCAAGGTCCCCACCTGCCTCTCGGGGACCCCACCTGCCTCTCAGGGCCCCCACTTGCCACCCCAGGGCCCTCACCTACCTCCTAGTGCCTCCACCTGCCACCCAGAGTCCCCACCTGCCACCCTAGGGCCCCCATCTGCCACCCCAGGGCCCTCACCTACCTCCTAGGGCCCCACCTGCCACCCAGAGTCCCCACCTACCTCCCAGGGCCCCCATCTACCTCCCAGGGCCCCCACCTGCCACCCCAGGGCCCCCATCTGCCACCCAGGCCCCCACCTGCACCTCAGGGACCCCACCTGCCTCTCCAGGGCCCCCACCTACCTCCTAGGGCCCCCACCTACCACTCAGTGTCCCCATCTGCCACCCAGGCCCCCACCTGCACCTCAAGGACCCCACCTGTTCCCCATGGGCCCCGCCTGCCTCCCCAGGGCCCCCACCTACCTCCCAGGGCCCCCGCCTGCCACCCAGAGTCCCCACCTGCCACCCTAGGGCCCCCACCTGCCACCCCAGGGCCCCCACCTGCACCTCAGGGCCCCCACCTGTCACCCCAGGGCCCCACCTGCTCCTAAAGGGCCCAACCTGCCTCCCAGGGTCCCCACCTCTTCCCCAGGGCCCCCACTTGCCCCCTCAGGGCCCCCACCTGCCTCCCAGGGCTCCCTGGCATGGCCACTCAGGGTGGCAGAGGTTTGCTGTTGTTAAGTCCACCAGGGTGGGTTCTCGGTGCCCCTGAGCTGGCTGGGGTGGGGCAGGAGTCCCGCTCCCGAAGGGTGCTGGCCAGAGAGTCAGCCCCGGGCTCAAGCCATGGGCTCTGAGTTGACAACACTGAGTGTGGCTCCTGGTCCTGTCTTTATGCTCTGTGCAAACTTGGGAAGGTTGCTTCACTTCTCTGAGCCTCTGTTTTCTCCTCTGGGGGAGTAATAACACACTCCAGCCCCTATATCAGGTTGCTGTGGGGCTCCTACAGGTAACACATGTCAGCGACGCCCACTCAGCCTGGAGCTCTGCAGACGGCACGTGCTCAGGTGATAGCAGAGGGAGAGCCTGCATCCATCTGTGCCTCCCTGGCACGCGCCCCCCGGGTGGCTGGCAGCGCGAACTGCAGGAGCACCGTGCTCCTGGACAAGTCCACGTCCCGTTGCCACAAAAACCTCCTGCAGGAGGACGCAAGCCCTTCCCAAGTCAGGGCAGAGGTCTGGGATTCCAGCAGTGATGACGCTTACATCTCGGGGTAGTCGCTCCCTGTGGACTCACTTCAGGTCCACAGGGTCCTGATGGCTATGCCCAGGGGAGGCACCATTTGGCCCTAAACACAGGTGAGGGGACCACGGCCCCAGCTGCCTGCCTCTCCCAGGGCGCTGACCCCGAGGAGCCTGCCGGGCACCGGGGCTCCCAGGACATCTGCTCGGGCTGGCTGCCCCCACCCCAGGCCACCTGCCCTCCACCGGGCCCCTCGGGGAGGCGTGCTGGGCTGGACTCCGATTCTGTCCATCTGTCTGACTGTCCACCTGTCCATAAAAGCGACGACGACCACAGCAGTGGCCATGGCAGTGGCTGCCGTTGCCCTGGTGTCCACGGTGTGCTGAGCCCCACACCGGGGCCATTCCCACTTGCAGGG